GCTGCCAGCGGTGGAGATGGCACGGCCGGGACACTGCGGGGGTGGCCTGGTGACCACGACGGAGACCAGGTCACCACAGGGGTGCCCAGCTCACGGTGGGACCACCTGCGTCACTGCAAGGGTACCTGGGCCACTGTGGGGGTCACCTTGGGCACCGCAGGGCCGCTCAAGCCACCACGGGGCAGCCTGCCGAGGGCCTGGGAACGCCCTCCTGGTGCCCTCTGGCCTTAGGGTCATAGACACTGATGGGGCAGGCCACCCAGACCACTGGGCATCCGAGTCCCTCTGGGATTGGAGGTAGGTCTGAGGTTGAGAGGTGTCTGAGAAAGGAAACCGGGACGAGGGTGGCATGAAAACCAGAGAGGGACAACCGAGGGCAACACTGCCTCGCGTCTGCATGACGCTTTACACTTTTCTACATGTTTTTATGACCCGCTCCTCTGAGATAGGGGGGGCAGAATTTTCCGGGTTTGTGGAACTGACCAGACATGGCCACCCAAGGTCGCACCTCAGGAAGGCCCAGTCCCGGCGCAGTACCACCCCCACACTGCCTACCTCAGTAGGCACCAGAGACAGTGGGACCTTTCTAAGCAGACTTCTGTCTCTGTCTCCCTTCCTCCACACCCGAGAGACGCCAGAGGCTCCAGGGTCCAAGCCTGGCACTGTCCCAGCTCGTGCTGCAGCCCTCTCTGCCTCTGCTGCCGCCTTTCACGCACAGCAGCCTGGGCCCTGGCAGCCATGACCGGTCCCCGGGACTCAGCCTTCAAGGCTGAAAGGCCAGGGAACCAGGCCAGGGGGTGCTAGAAAACCGAGGCCGGGTCCCTCCCACCTCAGTCTCCCAATGGTGCTATCTGCTAGCAGACCGTGCTCACGGACATGGACACAGACCCTAATATGCTCCAAACCCCGCAGGCGCACTGGGAAGGGCCCCAAAGACTCAGCGTTGGTGCATCCACTCGAGGCCTCAGTGCAGCCTCCTGAGGCCCAATCTCTGTTCCTGCATCCCGCATGGCCAGGCCCCAGGGTGGGGTGTTATGCCCAAACCCCGTTCGTGTCAAGAATGCCTCCCTGCTTCTCCCAAAGCCCTCCCTCTCCTGTAGCCGGGCGCGGGCAGTCGCATCTTGCCGCACCGCGCTCTGTCCTCGCGCCTCCTGCCTGGCAGAGGGAATTGCTGAGATTCAATAAAGGGTTTTCCAGCCTGCAGAGTGGTTTTTCACAACAGAGGGCCACAACCTGGCATGTGCAGTGACTCCTCAGTAGACAGGAACCAGCTAATCTGGGTGGTTTTTGGTTTTGTTTGAGGGATCGGGACTCCATGCTCTGTTTAGAAGGAGGCAGATCTTAAGAAAACAAGGTGAGAAACGTAGAGAAAGTCTAAGAATTTGAATTGAATTTGTTAGGGTGGGGCTAGTGCAGAGTTGTGATTGGGAGAAAGCGATATATTGATTTTAAAGAAGCATTCGCAGAAAGTTGGTATTTCCTGAATAATGGAGAATAAGGCCAGTGTACTTCTTGGCTGTTGGGAGTGTGAATCAAAGGATGAGCTCACTACAGCAATAACACAGCACTAGGCACATGCCTTTATCTCATCCTAAAGAATTGATTCTCAGTGGCTTTGTGAGGGTGCCAACACCAAGTCCCTAGTTTTGGGGGTCCAGTCAGACCTCCTCAGTGCCACAAACCCCTCTGCTTCCAGGACGCTCCAGAGTCCACTGATGCTTGACCATCAGATGTGGTGACAATGGGAATGGCAATCTCTGACTGCTCCTAGGCAGTATGGACCCTGCATGTCCACCCACTGAAGCAGAAATCACCTATCTTCTGGGGTGGGAGGAATTACCATTGAAATAGTTAACACATGCAAGTGGTAAATATTCACGTGTGTCAAAAAACAGTAGAAGAGTTTCCCCACCAGCTGTATCCACAGCTCAGAGCTTTGCTGTCCTGGAACGATATTCAACTTCTCAGATCTTGACATACTCTTTTCTCTGGACTTTGTGCCCCTGTTGGCCTGTAGGATTCCAGTGGGGACATTGAATGGCACAGAAATCTTGCCCAATTCCTTGTTAAGAGTGGAGGGTTACAAATGATGATGCCTCATTGGGGAACTCAGAGTGGCAGTCTCATGGAAGCTCCTGGCCTTGGTCCCTTTATTGCTGTTTGCCAACTTATGTTTTAATGCATAGGCAAAGGAAGGTGGAGGAATAGTAGCATGCCAGCCATTGTTCAACAATAAGTAGACCTCTTCTTTGAGGGAACAAAGAAATATGAGTACCAGATTTTGCTCTCTAGGAACCTGATGTCTGATAGAAGATCTCGGAACCATGTGGCTGTGTAAGCATGGAGACTTGGGAAGTACAGCTTGGAGACTGAACTAGAGTTAGAAAACCAAAAAGGAGGGACATGTCCAGCATTTCTCAAAACTGCAAGAACTGAGAAGCAAAACCTCAGGATGCAATACTGAAGGATTCTACGGGCACAAAGCTTGAAAATGCAGGGAGCATTAGGAGGAGATGGAAGGAATACACAGTGTATACTGTACTGAAAATAACTGGCCGGTAGGGAACCATTTCAGGAAGTAGCATATGATGTAGAACCAAAGGTAATAAGTTCAACTGCACTGAAGGCATTGGCAAAAAATAAAGCCCCAGAAATTGATGGAATATCAACTGACATGTTCAACAACCAACCATGCTCACCTGTTCTACCAATTGTACAGAAGGCAGTTAGATGGTAGCTGCCTGGAAGAGATCCTTATTTGTTTCTCATTCCAAAAAACCTAACTGTGGAAGTTATCAAACAATATCATTAAGCAAGTAAAATATTGCTGAAGATTACTGACAAATGGCTTGGGCAGTATATCAACAGGAAACTGCTAGAAATTCAAGTTGGATAAAGAAGAGGCTGTGGAACCAGAGATACCATTGCTGATATCAGATCTTGCCTGAAAGCAGAGAACACTAGAAAGATCTTTATGTTTTACTGACTATGCAAAGGCGTTCAACTGGGTCATAACAAACTGTGGATAACATTGAGAAGAATGGGAATCCCAGAACACTTAATTGTGCTCAAGAAAAACCTACATATAGACCAAGAAGCTGTTACTGGGAACAAGAGAATGCTGCAGGATTTAAAATAACGAAAAATGTGCATGCTTTCTCTGTACCTACTTGATGTGTATGCTGAGCAAATCATTCAAGAAACTGGACTATATGAAGAGGAATGTGGCATCAGGATTGGAGAACAATTCATCAACAACCCACACTATGCAAATGGTACAACCTTACTTGCTGAAAGTGAAGAAGAAGTACCACGACAGAAGATCAAAGACAACAACCTTCAATATGGATTACATCTTAACATCAAAGAAACAAAATCCTCACAACTAGATCAATAGGCAACATCATTATAGGTGGAGAAAAGATTGAAGTTAATGATTTCATTTGAGTCCACAGTCAACTCACACAGCAGCAATCAAGAAAGCAAAAGCTGTATTGCACTGGGGAAATTTGCTGTCAAGGACCTTTTTAAAGTGCTAAGGAGCAAGACTGTCCGTTTAAAGATCAGGTGTGCCTAATCCAAGTTATAGCATTTTCAATTGCTTCGTAAGCATCTGAAAGTTGGGCAATGACTAAAGAGGAAAGAAGAATCCATGTCTTTGAAATTGTGGGGTTGGCGAAAAGTATTGAATATTCCATGACTGTCAAAAGAACAAATAAATCTGTCTTGAAACAAGCGTAACCGGAGTGGTTCTTTAGAAGCAATGATGCTGAAACTTCATTTCACATACTTTTGTCATGTTGTCAGGAGGGGCCAATTCTTGGAAAATAATTGCTGAGAAAGCTGCAAGGGCAGTGGAAGAGAGGAAAAGCTTCAGCAAGTTTGGGTGGAGCAGCGACTGCAATAGTGGTCTTGAGGATGATAGAGACTTTGACGATGGTGCAGCAAAGGGCATTCATAGGGTTGCTGTGAATTGTATTTGACTAGATGGCACTATAGGCTGACGGTGCCAATTCTGCCCCATCACCATTTTGTTCTTTAGTGCATTACCCATGTCTAATCAAGGTGGACGATACTGGGGTATAAGACAAATGTGTCAACCTAGGAGACTTTTAGCCTGAATCCATAAAGTCAGCAGGCTCATTCACTCAAGGGTGAGCATGAAAGTTGTCTCTGAAGTAACATTTGACCTCCTTCCTACAGGCTACAAAGGAGTCGTCTTGTAAAAATAAGTTTAGTTCTCAGGAGAAGCGCTTCATGCCTATCCAAGTGGAAATTAATAGTCTCTTTCTGTGGAGTAAACGTGCTCCATGATTAGCAGTCACATTATCCAAACCACTCCCTGATGGGTAGCACCAAGACTGGATCAAACAACTGAAAAAGGGCGACCTTGTAAAGTCCAGGGCATGGGAGGACTGTAAGTAGCCCGCCCCAGCGGCCTGGCAGGACATGGCCCCAGCGAGGGCGTGCAGGTGAGCTAGGCTCCAGTTGGCAGGGCGTGCCAATGAGTAATTTCCACCGCCAGCTGTGAAAAATCATTGTGAAATCATCGCCACAGATGCACCTCTGCCCGACCCCCACTGTGTACAAGCGGAAATATGCGCTGGTTCTTAAAAGAGCAAGTCATCGGGAGTAAAACTTTGCAATAACGAGAAGACTTGTCAGCTGGCTTTCCCCCCGACTCAGCGTTCTTCCCTTGGGTAGGAGTCTAAGTTTGCACATTTCTCCGTCCTTGGCGCACCTTCTACACCAGCTCTAGACTATGGTTCCGCGCTCCGAGCTGCTCGTCGCCCTCCAGCCACAGGGGGCGCCACGGAGCACACGCCGTGGGGCCGGGCGGCCAAAGCCAGTCTTGGCCCGGAGACCCCCCTACTCCCAGCATGCACGGCGCGCCTCCCAGCATGCACCTGCGTCAACAGCGGCGGCGGCTTCCAGTGCGTCCCGCGCGATCTGGGGTCGCAGACGGCCGGGCTTTGAGAGCATTGGTCACCATGGCGGAGGCGGCGCCGGCGCGGGTAAGAAGCGCCCTTTTGCAGACGGAGGGCGCGCCCGGCCAGGAGCGGGCCTCGCGTCCCGGGCTCGGCGGGGGTCTCGGTTCCGGGGCTGGGCGGGCGCCGGTGGCTCCGTCGGGTTGGCGCCCTCCGCACAAACTTTTGTGAAGCGCGTTTCTCCGCGCAGCGCTGCTCCTACTGCTGGCTGACAGAGTTCGCCTCCAGGTCGGAGCGCTTGGGTCCCTATGGCTGCCAGCGGGCGCCCTGGGCGCTCGGGTCCGCGGCTTTTGTCCTGTGCGGCCAGCGTGCCCTCGACCCATCCGGAAGCTGTGTGCTCCGGCTCCGGGGGTCAGTACGCGCTTTCTCCGTTGGGATAATGCGGCTTCGCAGAGTCTTCGCTGGGTTTTGTTTGTGAAGCTGCCTCTTCCTCGCACCCCCTCCCCCCCATTCTGGCTGGACACGGCTGGGTGAGGGGAATGCCTGGCCATGGAGTCCCGAGACTGGATTTCAGCTGTAGTTCAATCCAAAATGGGTGATTTTAGACCCTGTGCTCACCCATCTGGACTTCCATTTCTCTGCCCGCAAATTGAGAGTTTCCAGCTAGATGGTTTTAGGTCCTCTCTACGTCTGATGACCTCATTTTAAAGTAGTGGATTAGTAATACTGTGTGATTTCCAGTGGAAAGGCAGTGGCTTTAGATAGTTGTTCTATGCCGTGCCTCTTTGCTTTTTTAAAAAATTATTTACATTTTTTCAGTTTTTCAAAAATGTCTTTATTCTACTTTATTTTAATGAAAGTTTACAGTGACTTTGGATTTCCATTCATTCATTTTTGCACTTTTCTCCACTCCCAACCCTCCCCCCAGTACACTACCCTCTTGGAAAAGTAGAAGAAAAATTCTTTCATTGTTTTACAGTCCCACCCCCAGGTCCACTCCACTATACAGCCTTCGCTCTGGACTCACATATCCCTCTTAAACAGTTTTCTCCCTCATCTGTTTCAATGCAGTATACATTATTTATCCCATCTTTCTCAGTTTTCCCCCAACCCCGATGTCAGTCCTGTTTTACAACAGTGGCACTGTGCAGTATTTGTACTCTTATGAAGATATATTTCACTCAGCATAACGTCCTCCAGGGGTCACCCAGTTTGTATCATATTTCATTAATTCCTTTTTTTTCTTTTTTTTTAGTTCCTTTTCAGTGCAGCATGGTATTCCATTGTGTGAATATACCAGAGCTTCTTTATCCATTACTTTGTTGATGGACACTTGGATTGTTTCCAACTCTTTGCTATTATGAACAAAGCTGCAGTAAAAAAAAAAAAACAAAACAACCAAAAACCCAAAAACAAAACCCAAAAAGACCAAACAATAAAAAAAACACCCCAAACCCAGTTAAGTCTTTGTGAGAATTGCGAGCTAAAGAAAACTTGTGAAAATAGTAAGAGTTGTTACTGCGTGTCCTCATTGAGTACAACTCATAGCAACTCTAAGAACAAAAGATTTGAATCCTGTTCTATATCTATCATTATTTCTCTAGTGTTTATAGTTTTTTTAAAAGGCCTGTTTTTTTAAGAAGTGGATGCCACTCCTGCCTCCAATTTTGTCTTAATCTGGGAGCTCTACCAAACCTTGTCCCCCATGGGTAAACATTATGGCATTTGACACACCAGTGGCACAGCTTTCAGTATCTCAGTACAGTAAACTGACAGACTAGTACTGTAGCCTTTAGTACAATGTTCACTCAAACACAGCACCAAAACGGAAGACTCCTAGGTTCCAACAGTCCCGTCTATCAGGTCCTGATTGATTCATACAAGAGGCCTCCAGCCCGCAGGTGATGATTGAGTAAATCCAGATGACCAGTCAGCTTACTCGATTGTTAAGGAAATAAAAAGCTGACCAGTTTACACCTGACTTTGAACTAAATCAAAACAATCTACTCTTCAGAATCCAACTGTATTTGATTCTTCTAGGAAATGGGTAAAAACTAGGGAGGGAAGGTTGAAAAACACAATTTTTGTTTTCAAGAAAGTTGGGAGACAAGGCAGACATGTTTGCAACATATATGTCATTTGAACTTTTTTTTTCCATTTGAACTTTTTAAACTAAGCTGATTCAGAGACATGGGTTTTTTTTATTAATTTAGTTTGTTTATTTTTCATTTCAGTGAACATCTACAGAGATTTTGGAATCCCATTCATTCATTGTTGCACCCTT